TTTGTGTCGCCAAAACAAGCCAGAGCCTCCCGCAGCGAAACCTGTGATTTCCCAGCGCAGGTACCCGCCGGTGTCTCCACCGCGGTTCCCGGTCCCCGAGGGCAGTCCGCACGCCCTCTGCCCAGGTCTGAGTTGATGAAGGCTTGTATCAGGCCGGGGGAGCGCTGGCGATTACACCGGGATCACCCCCTGGGGAGCCCCAAAACGACAAAGGGACGGCGACCAGCAGCGGCTGGAGGACTGTGGGGCGGGTGGATGGAGCGAACGGATTCCCGGTCCCAAGCCCCTCCACCCCACCCTGGGTGGTGTAACTGGAGTCGCGGGGGGCCCACGACGCACCCCCTCCAGAGCCAACACCTGCACGCCGGGGCGCTGCGCCAGGGTCGCGGGAGCGATGCTCTGTGTTCCCTGGAGCAAGGAAGAGTGGGGAAAACCTTGTGCGGGGAGTCCGGGCCCCGTCGGGGGGCAGAGACCCGACACAACCCCAGCACCCCCGGTTCCTCCCTGCCACCCTGGAGAAGTGAACCGGGAAATAAACTTTTTTTTTTTTTTTTTCTCTCTCTGTCTCTCTCGCCTTTGTCCGGAATCCTCAGGCGAGCGAATAGATACTTCCTAGCTGGCCCCATGACTTCAGGTATGTCACGACAGCCAAGAGGCCGAGCAGTGGAGTGATGTCCCCCTCCACGATCCCTCCCCGAGGGGGGGGCCCTGGGGGATCTCCCCGGCGGAACGCGGCGGTCTAGGCACTCCTGGAAGATGGTAGCTGGGGCTGAGCGCTGCCTGGCAGCAAGCGTTCCCCTGGGGGCGGTGAGGGGCCGCGGGGGGCGCGGGGACCCCCGGAGCCCTGAGCGGGCGCTGTCCTTGGTGCTGGGCCCGCCCCGAGAGCCGCCGGGCGCTGCCGCCACCGGACAGCGCGGGCAGGGAACTCCGGGACTCCCTGGGAAGAACGGCACCCTGCTCCTTGGTGTCTGCCCCACCGCGCCGCCGCTTGTGGGGAACACACAAGCACCTACTTATTGGTGTGGCGAGCCCACGGGAAACACTGCAATAAGCACCCGCTGTGCTCCTTGCTCACACTTCTTTATCCCCCTTTCCCAGGCCCCTCTCTAAGAGGATATATGCTAAACTGGGAGAAAGTACAAGGAAACGATTTATAATCCAAATAGCCATCACCACACAAAAAAAACCCAAAAAACCCCAAACCCCCAAACAACAAAATACCCCACCAACATCTGAAGCACCATAAAGAAGAGTGTGAGAGGCAGATTGCCCTCAGCCATTGGCAAAACTGGCAACACCTGGCTCGTTGCAAACAGACAGATCAGTGTTTGCAAGTTCCTGGAGCTGTTAGGCCCTTTCTCCACAAGCCCTAGGCAAGCAGACCTGGACACAATATTACAGGGTATGTTATTTTTGTACCTGCATGTTGTGGGGAGACGTGGAGGACCCTCCATCTAAGGTGCTTTACTATATAAAACATAATTTTTTGGCAAGTTGATTTGGAAGGGAAAGCATAAAGCAGTCCCAGGAGGAGGGGAGATGAGCAGGAAGCTTACTTATGTAATTAAGCAGAGATAGCATCTTTAAAGAAGACAGAATCTGGAGACAGCCCTTTACCAGGCATTAGGGGATTAGGTAGGGCATGAGCAAAGAGAAACAGAAATGACAAAAAAAGATGACCCAGGCCTCTCCTCAGAGGGGTCAGCTGTTTCCTGTGCTGCAATTTAGTGGGAAATAATTGACGTTACTGTCTCCACTGGGACAAAAAAGCCTGCAGACCAATCCTCTGTGAATATTCATATTTATTTGACTCCAGAGGAGGAATGTAGACAGTGTGGAGGGGTACGGGATGCTTCAGTGTGGGTTCTCCTCTCTCTTTGGGTCTTCCTGGGGAGAATGACCAGTGTTGGGCAGACCCTGTCCCTGCATACCACAGACCCCCATGACAGCAGTCAGACAAGGGGGATGACGAGACTTGTGTTTTAGCACTGTTTTTATTTCCCACTCATGTTTCACCTTGTTCCTCTTGCAAGGCGAGGAGGCGGTGCAAAGCTGGTGTCTGCCTGGAGCAGGTGTTTGGAGATCACTCAGGAGTCAAATGTGAGAATTTGAACTTCTCAGGTGCTAGTCTGTGCTGGAAACCCATTTCCCCCTGGAAGGCTTCTGGAGTTGATGTTAAAGTAAGTCAGAAAAACAAAAAAAAGAAGCCACAGATAGAGGATAACACAAGCGCTTCTCTCCAGGTTAACCCACACAACACGCACTCCTTCATTCCCAGGCACTGCTCTCCCCACAACGGGGTCAGAAGATCAGTGAGGGCCATGTTGAAATAGGCCCCTTTGTAAGTTTATTCTTCCCAAGAGCTTAGAGGGACCCTACTGCAAGGCAGCAACCCATTCAAACTTCTACTGTAAAGTTACGGCTTGAAGCCCAGAGCAGCTTTTGGGGTTTTTTCTGAGTTCTTTGCAATGAAGTTAAGTGTGGGTGGCATGTCCCCTGGGATAGGTGCTGCTCACCTACACTTCTAAGAGGTCCTCCTGTACTTTGTGTGAATTATTATACTGCATTATATTGCACTATATTTATTATATTGTATTAAATTGGCTTTAAAAAAGAGCTAAACTTTTCTGGCAGTGCTAGTGTGAATGGAAGAGGAGGATGTTGGGGGGATCTTCACTGCCAGTCAGTTCTCATCCCCAGGTTCTTTCCTCCTCATAACAAGGAATTTTGATTGAGAAGGAAACTTTGAGTATGTATCTCCTAACTGGAGCATGTGGTTATTGTGCAGCTGATAGACCAGAACAAATTCTGCCGCTCAGGACTGGATTTTCTACACATATGAAATATCCGTATCTTTAGAAGGGACAGCACCCAGCTGAAACAATGAAACCGCACAGGATAAATGGAATTAAACACACTGGTCACTATGGGCTTGTGAGATGGGTGATTGTATCTTTTATATTTCACCAATTTTTTTTTCTTTTAGTTTAATTTTTTGTCACAATTTAAATGTCATTACTTAGGATGGCAAAATTTAGAGATGCAGTAAAGCTGCTTGTCTGAATCCACTTTGAAGTAAGAATGCTAGTGGGTTTGAAATCCAGATCTACGAGCTAATCTCTAGTTTTCCCTTCAAATGAAATTCAGCTACAAAGAGCTTAGAAAGATTTTGCATCTATTCAGGAGGCACATCTTTTAATTTTCTGAGGAGCAAAAAATCCACAAGAAACTTCATATAGCTCCTTAGGTTTTGCTTAGCATATGTGATAAAACATTGATTGTTGCAGTTTGGTGACCCATGAAATTTGGGGGTTAGTTTTCTCTTCAGACCAGAGCATATAATTATGCAAATAAAGAGCTGTCACTGATCTAGTGAAATACTCTCTAACACATGCAATCCAAAATGGAACAGAAAAGTGAAATTTGTGGTATTATGATGATACAATGATAAATGACATCTCCTTTCAAGTTTTTCTAGAAGTACATTTTTCACACTTTGTCGAGTACATCAACATAATGCGGACGCACACACACATGCACAGACACACACACATCCTTTTGAGATCGAGATATCCATGAATGCGTGCAGTCACACACACACACATGCATCCTTCCACTCTGTAAGATAGCTCTACCCTGGTGTACAATGGATGTACACATTCTTGGCAGGTTATTTTTGGTTTGGTTGACTTGAGAATGGTGCAATATGTGGCTCCATGCAGTTTTAGATGTGACACTTTTCATTTGTACTTCTGAATGAAATTTCTAGAGGGGAAAAATACTTCACTACCCACAGTAAGTGATGTTTCTCAGAGACAGGAAAAATGCACATTTCCATGAAAAGCAGCAGCTTCTTCTGAGTCTGGGAGAATCACACTGTGAGAACTGTAACTGCAACCAGTGCACTGCCATGTATGCACAATGAAGATGAGGGATACCTTTGCTTTCCCCCACCCCTGCCCCTTTTTTCTTTCTTTTTCCACACAGCCCTACTGTGTTCGGGGGTCTGTTGGCTGTTTTCTGCTAGGAACACTTCTTTCTTGCTCTCCATTCTTGACAATGAAGCACTGCTTTCATTGGTCCACAGTTTTAATGGCGGCATTTTGACTTGCACAATGGTGTGCAAACCTTTTGGGTGGCAAGGAGCTAGGAGTTTTCCTAGATCCTGTTGTAGGGTCAGTTTTATTGGTTTACTGTTGTTGTTTTTGCTTTGGGGGTTTGTTCTGGTTTTGGGCTTTTTTCTGGTAACTTTTGTACTCGTAGCTCCAAAGCTACCTAGGGCAGAGGCTGTTGCATGTCACACATCAAGGAGCTTTCCTGTGACGAAACCAGGAGGAAGTTGACAGCAGACCTATGTCTCCTAAAGACATCATGGCCTGAGGACAATGCATCTTTAAAAACATCAATCCAAAGGAATAGGCTAAATCAACACTCATCCCCGCTTAGTGTGCTTCAGGGTTACCATTGTCACCTTTCCATGCAACGCCAATGCGGTGGCACATGCTGGGATGCTCTGACACCTTCCTCTCTTTCTGCAGACCATGTACCCTCTGCAGCTGAGGCTGCAAACGCTGCCTCCTCTGTCTCTAGCCTATGCCGCCTGCAAAAGGCCCTCCCCAAAAAACGGATGAAACTCCTCTCTTGGTGTAATTTTACAGTTTCATGTTTCTGAACAGCTAAAGGGGAGAGGATGGCGCGGCATACTCGCCTGTGTGGCTTCCTATGGATGATGCAGGGTGTGCGGAGAGAAGCCCATGCTCATGTGAACTGAGCCACAGGGCTGGACAGGCAGCCCACTCTATGGAACAAATGAGTCTCACCCCCCCTCACACCTTCCAGCCCCAACCCTGCAACCATATGGGGTCCTATTTGCAAACACACTTGCCCACTCGCATGTATTCTGAGCTGGTGGAGCTGCTGCCCATGCAGTCCCCACCCTGCCCACCACAGACAGCGGCTCCTGTGGAGCTCAATGCAAGGACACAGAGTGTGCAAGAAGGAGAGAAGAAAGCATATTTATTTTTTGTTCATTGCAAGCAGAGCAGTATCAGTGGTGAGGATCCCCTCTGCTCTACAGCCCCCCACAGGAGCGATAATAGTGAGCTGGGCCCAGGGCACAGTAAAGAAAAATTTTTTAGAAAAATGGTGTTACAGTAAAAATGTTTGTAGTTTGTTTCTCATCAACAGTTAAAAAAATAGATCTGCTCCTCCAATATTAGGGCACCCTAGAGAGTCCATCTCACTTCCACAGAGATGGAGAGTGGTAGGTCTGGTTGTGTGCATGTGCAAACTTCCCTGGCCTCTGCATGTTCCTTTGCTGTGGGATGAAGTACAGACACCCAAACCACACCATGTAAACTCTCACCTTAACCCTCAACACACAGGGTCCAGAGGGCCGGGGTGGACACGGACCTGGGGAGGGGAGGGGTTGTAGACTTCCGCAGTGGGGGATCAGGCTGGCCACAGGCAGCAGCATCCTCTGACTGCGAGTGAGGGCAGAGACCGGAAGCCAGAGGAATCTGGGTGCAGTCCTCTCCCCCCAGCAATAAGTTCCCCTCCAGGAAGAAAATCTGCCAGGCACAGATACTGCACTTCGTCCACATAGGCACAGCCCCCACCAGGGGTTTGCTCCAAGCACCCTTCCCCAAGGGCAGAGCTCAAATGCAGCAAGATGACAAGAAGCAGCAGCTGGGGAAATGAAGCCCTGCTACCAGTATGAGCAGGTAGGGATGGATGTAAGCACTCTAAGGCGCTGAGAGCCCCCGGCCTGGAGGATTTAGGCCCAAACCCAGCTGGGTTTCCCTTTACACCTCACTATGAGCATTTGTGCTTTTGCCCTGTGGCATAGAAGGCTACCCCTGCTTTGGCACTGTCTTGTTTTAATGCTCCGCACCACCACTTCTGGCCCCCAGCTGCAGGACTGGACACACTGCATGAAGAGAGGGTGGGATCGGGTCCAAAACTCATGTCTGAGAGGTGCCTCCTTGCCACTAACAGTATCAGAGGTGAGGTGGGCATGGCCATTAAAGAAAGGACAACTCTAATTTAGTATTATCAACACCAAAGGAGCTTAATTAGAGTGCTTGCTCACTGGGCATGCTATCAAACGCATCTTTTCCCTCAGTTTTAGCGGAGAAAACCTGCCTAACACAACAGTTATGGCTACATCTACATAGCCCCCCATGCATGGTGTGAAATCCCCACACAGTGCCCTGCTTGCCAACCTTTGTCAGAGAGAAGGTAAAGTGGGGAGGAACCTGTGAGTTTAGGGAAAAGGGAATATCTATGGGATGGCAAGTCATTACAAACTCAGCATATGAAAATGGAAGCATTTTTGTGTTTAAAAATAAACACAAAAATATGCAGTGTGTCTATATTTTTTTATGTCATACTTCACAGTGTGATCCAGCCTGTTAAAGAAAAGCATTTTTTAAAGTAGAGCTTTCCAAAGGAAGAGAAGATCTACAGATAAAGCCGTTGATCTAGCAAGAGAAAATCTCTTCAACAATGGAGCCTTTTTAGAATTCTGGGCCAAACTTCTTGGACACTCTTGACAGCAGAAAAATGAGAGAGTTAGAAGTCAATTCCACTTGGTCCCAGAGAAAGAGAAGGCTACTAGGTGTAAAATCATAGGCTGGTTAACATGTTTGAGTCAGGTCCGTGTTTTAGAAAAGAGTAATTTGTATTTTGTTCTGTCTCAAAAAAGAAGGAAACTGCAAAATATCCTGCAGGCAACAGGACTGCAAAGAAGCTGTTAAATTCTGGCATCAGCTTGGTGCAGGGCTATGTCAGGGCAATTAGAGCTGCACCATGCTGCACTGTGCAGTACCACTGTCAGCCTTAATCTGCACTCTGATGGGCAGCACAAAATCCAAGTTACAGCCCACAGGAAGCACAACCACTGAACCCATATTGCTTTGACAGTTGCACTCATCTAGAAATAATGCAAAACGCTATTTAGATGTATACATCACGACCCTGTGCTCTAGGAAGAAAACAATCTAATGAGGGGCTGGGAGGCTCCTTGCAGAAAACAAGCAGCAAAGACATTGGTGGTGGTGGGTTTTTTTCCTCCCCTCCTTTTAAAATTCTTCATATTTTATCCTGTTGGAGCGCCGTGTTTGGGTTGGTTTCACCAAGCTGTTCTTCGCCTTTACAGCCTCACTGAAGAATTTGAAAACAGATGGAAAACTCTTCCAAGAAGTTAGTTCATGGCGTTCTGTACCTGCAAAACACAAAGGTGACAGTTTGACTAGGGGATGTTCTCTGACTTGCTGGGTGTTCACAGGATAAATGCTCCATAAAATGCAAAAACTCAAAACTCACAGAAGACACACAGCTGCTGCAGCTGGTCTGGAGGGAGCCTGGGAAGGGTCAGAGCTGTCCTGCTGCTGAGCTCTGGGGCAGGTGACAGTAACAGCTGCACACACATGCAGACAGACACATGCACAAACACACACATATGCACATGCACAGCCACCCACATCACAATCAGAGATCCTCAACATGTCTCATATCTGGGAAAATAAGGTCCCAAAGCACTCTGCTAATAAAAGGTCATTGAAGCACCTCACCTATCTGCCCTACCTTGGGAAAAAGAAAGTGTCTACTTTTCAGACATCCTTAGTATTCTTTATTTTTAATTTCATACTGCTTTTAGCCTAGCATATCTATTTTCCAATGAAAGAGAACACTTAATCTGAACCACATCTCATGCATCACGAAGACATCCTTTGTGCACCTGCTCCCACAGATAATATTGAGACAGTAAAGTGGACCTTTCCTATTTATATCTTCCCTCTGCACATAGATTTACCTCTGTATTTTATTTTGGTGTATGCTTCTACTGTTTTGCAGTGCTTTCCTCAACACATTTGTTTTATTTAAACAACCACACTCCTTCCTCCTTCCCCCCACCACCAACCCCCAAAACAAAACCAAGATAACGGAGATAGGGAGCCAAGGAGTGTGAAAGAGTTGGGACCTCTTCCTGGGTAACCCAATTATGCAGAGATGCTGCCTGGTAGTCTTTGGATCCTGGGCCTCTGTCTGATACTTTAACATTGCTAATGATAATTCTTTAGTCTGTGATAGTAGGTCATTGCTATGGTTACTCTGCAATGGTGCAACACTTCACTTTCCCCTTCAGCTATTTGTTGAGACCCAGCAACTACATTTGTTGCCTAGCAACACTTCTGTGACAGTATCACAATCTGAGGGTGACAACAATGAGGGACACAGTGGCCACAGCCTGGGAGGCGGAGAGGGATGCAGTCCAGGGTGGATGATGGTCCCTGCAGGACACAGGGTGGCCATCAGTATCTGGGGATATGGGATGGCTGCTCTGGCATGGCGTTTGCTGCATACCTAGCTTCACATCCCTGTCAGGACCCTCTAGGCATCCATCCATGGAGCATCCTTGTTGGGTCCACACACACCATCCCCTCCAGAAAGACTTTGATGGCAGCACTACCTGTCATATTGCACGTCCCTGGCTCCCTCAAAGGCAGCCATCACACAAGCAAACCAATCCTCCAAAAAACCCTCTCTGGAAACACACTACTTCTCACACAAAGAGATGATTTTGTACAAAGAGCACCCATGTCACATGCCCAGACAGATTTTCCTCTCCCTCTCCATATTCATTGTACAGAGCCAATTCATGACATCTTCCAGAAATTTCCCACATGCTCCTTTTATACAAATGCTTTCCACCTTTAAATTCACCCATCATTGTAGAAATTCTTTTTGCTGAGAGGTAGTCCATCCTGTCAAGTGTAGGACTTGGCAGTGCTGATTGAGCTGGGCTCCATGATCTCAAGGGTCCTGTCCAACATAAAAGTTTCTGTAACTCTACCCTGCAGGTGGCTTTCAATACAGATCACCTATCCCACCCCCTATAAGACACCTCATAGCAATATTCATCAAGACTTGTTCCCCACCTGGAAAACACAGAAGTGGCCCTAAACAGCAGGAGGATAAAGCTTTCCTTCTAGCAAAGGAAAACCTGCAGCCTAACAGACATGTCCCTGAGGTTATGGCTTTGCTCGGTATACTATGACTGCCCACTGCCACCATGCACATGAAAGTCATCTACCAAAGCTGATTTTATGGAGGGATAGGCTGTCCTAACACACTGTAAGGACACTCCTGCACAGGGGCTTCACCTCCTTCCCACATGCCTGTGTTACAGCATATGGTGAACACCTCTTGAGCCCTGAAGGCAAAACATCTTTCCATGTGGCTTTCTGGTCCCTACACAGACATCTCCCACACAAACACGTATTTCTCACTTCTGCCTGTCTGCACTCTCTGTCTTGATTGTAATGGTCCTCATTAATATCCACTGGATTAAGATGAAAATATAGGCTGTGAATACTATGGGGTTTTTTCCCCCCTTTCTTCCTTTTTCATCAACTACCTTCCTCCTCTGTAAAAGGGTCACCCATAAACAAAAAAGACAAAACAAAAAACCAAATGACAAAACAAAACAAAAAAAAGAGTAAGTTTCGGAAGCCTCCCTGTGTCTTTCTTCATCCTGCCTTCTCCCATGCACTTTCCTCATGTTCCCAAGAGAGATCATGCTCAAATTCACTACTCTTACTGAAACTGATTAACCTACAGCTTTCCTGTGGCAACTCCTCCCAACCCACTCTTCTCAAAAAACAATTCAAGCTTTGAGTCTAGAGGGACTCAATGATTCAGCAGTATAAAGCAATTTTAACACTCCCTATTCTCCTTTTCCTAGTAACAATCTTACTGGCAGATGAACAATTTCCCTGGTGATAAAATCACTACAATGGATATTTAGTTTCCAGGATTATGATGACTCTTTGCTTGATTAATATTGCAATAAGAAAAGCTTGCTAAGTATATGCCTTGGACCTTTACAGTAATTTCTAAAGGTCAAATTTTGCCCATACGTATTCACATTTAACTACAACTAAAGGGAGACCTCTAAAAATTTAACTTTGCACACACTGTGCATTTATGATTTATATACCAAAGGCTTGGAAAATTCAACCAAAGCAAGTGGAATTATGTCCTAAGGGTGACAACAGATTTTGACCATCAGATTTTTGCCAGAGGAAAAATACCATTTACGACTGCAATCTCAATTGTGTATTTACTACACAGATCTAAATGAAATGCATGAACAACCATCTATTTTTTAATAGAAGTAATAATTTTTAAGAGACAGACAATAAGAAGCAGTTGTTCTAAAGCCAAGATCCTCTGAGATGTATATTCTTAGTGCTCACTAATTTCAACAGCCGTGATGATAAACCATGATTCAATATATTGTATTAATTGATGGGCTGTTACACAGCATGTAGTGATTTCAGATATTAATTATTTGAGAAATCTTAGGAGCATGCTGCACGGAAAAGATATAAAAACCCTGTTAAGTGTGGGAAACAGCTAGAATACTCTAAAACATGCAAAGGCTACAATTGCAGAAAAAAAAAAGTATAAATCCCTCCTAGTCCCAGCTCCACTGAGATAAATGACAGAAATGTCAAAAAGCAAACCAGCCTCCCACTTGCCAGCATGGAGAGATGTAGAGAGAAATTAATATATACTTTCACGTGTGCATAACATCATTGGAAAGGAGCTCCAAAGAGATAGTGGAACCAATAATATGTGAGGTGAAATGAGTAAAGACAGTAAAAGACTGAACAAGTTCCAGAATCAATTTACCAAGCACTGCAAAGAGATATACAATTAGAAATAATGAAGACTTGACAATACAGTTGTTGATACAAAAAATAAGGGAATACTTAAAAAATTTAATATCCAAATCATCAGGTCTGGATGACATGCATATGTGGGTCTTCAGAGAATCAGTTAATGAAATTGCTGGACTACTGGCAATTATTTCTGAGAATTCATGTACAATCAGGTAAGCACCAGAGGACTGGGTGGGAATGAGAATAAAAGAAATTTCTAATTTGAGAAAAGGAGGATTAATTGAAACTAACTACCACACATAAAATTTATGTCTGAATACTAGTAAAGAAAGAGATCAACATTATAAAAAAATCACAAGCACCTCTAGGATAACAGTAGACACAACAGGCTTAAATTTGACAGGAACAGATAAAACCCAAACTTTATTGAACAATGAAAATTAGCAGGTGAGAAACTTATCCATTGCGGTGTTTTCGACACAGGTCAGTGTGGCAACCTTGAGGCAGTGGGAACCAGTGTAATCACTTAAAATGAATTATGATCCTCACTGCCCTAATGGGCTATGGTCACTCCTACCTCTCACTTGCAAATCAGTTGCTTTATGCAAGTCAAGGGGCCCCCAAACACTTGACATCTACAGTAATGCAGCTCTCAAATGTGTGCTGCCATGCCTGCACTGGCTCTAGCTGCCAGCACCATGTCCACCAGCAGCTGCAGTACACATCGCATGTCTACGGGGTCCAGACTCAGCATCTTGTCTCGTATCTCACCTCACCTCGTCTCGTCTCGTCTCGTCTCGTCTCGTCCCGTCCCATCCCATCCCATCTCACAGACGTCAAGTTATGCCTCTCCCATTGTACATTATCTCAGAAAACAGACTCTAGAAAATGGGGACTGGCACAGTTTTGGAGAAGTGGTTAAAGCATTTGAGAAGACAAATAGTAAGTAATAATATAGGGTTGAAAATACACCTATGAAGTCCCAGAAGGATTGGTACTTGGGCTCAAGTCTTTTAAATGTGGTTATTAGTCATCTGAAAGAATACTGAGAATATAGATACTGAACATAAGAATAGCATATTGAATAGGAGATAGTGCAAACATAAGAAGGAACAAAGAAATAATAATTAAAAGAGCAGCCTAAATGGGTAGGAAAAATAGGGAAGACGAAAAGGAAAGATTGAAAGTGGAAATGGTGCCTACAAGGGTGGTCATGCAATATGACCATGTGAATGATGCTGAGGGCCATTTGCATGCACACATGCAAAGGCACTTTCCCTGTCTTCCCTTTCCACTTCCACTCAGGAAAAGCAGCTCTTCACCAAGCAGGGCTGACAAATTCCTCCATCTGAAAGCAGAGTGTCTGGAGAGAGAAGAGCTCTGCAATCACCATAATTCTCTCTTGCAGAGCGATTACTGGCTGTGCAGGACAAAGGTGCCCTCCTACAGTGCCTGCCCACTGTGTCAGACAAAAGCCTCCTCCCGCGGTGCTCAGAAGATGCACAGCACAATGGTGGCCCCCCACCGCGTTTAC